GAACATACACATCAAACCGTTAATGCCTATTTTTTGAGAGACGCGATACACACAGACCTTTGCTCTCTACGTTCCCGTGTTCATCGGATTTCGGTGACAAATCTGTATTACTTTATCATCACAAAGGCAACAGCGAATAGCCTGGTCCCTGCGTCCCTCCGCAGCCCGGCCTGTCCCCTCCCAGCCTCATTTCCCAATCCTTTCCGGAATGACCCGTAGTCTCGGTCCCCGCTGTGAGCGCGTGACGGTTCTTCGGTAAGTACCGAGTCGATCAGCGGAGGATGAAACAAGCGAATGAACTTCTCGTCTCTGTCCTTAGACTATGTTTTCCCGGACTTGACGGGGAAGGCGGGTTCCCTCGACGACCCCAGCCAGGCTCGAGAACTGCCGAACCTCCCCTCGCCCTTGCCCAAGATGAATCTGGTCGAGCCGCCCTGGCACATGGGTCCGGAAGAGGAGAAGGAAGAGGAGGAAGAGGAGGAGGAGAGGGAGAGGGAGGAGGTAGAGGAGGAAGAGGAGGAAGAGGAGGAAGAGAGGGAGAGGGAGGAGGTAGAGGAGGAAGAGGAGGAAGAGGAGGAAGAGGAAGAGCTGCTCCCAGTCCACGGATCCCAAGAAGATGCGAAGACTCGGGCGTATGAATTGGCTCCCACCGGCAGCAGCCAGACTCCAGGGACCAGCAGCAGACACAGGCACGAGGATGCTGGGCCCCAGGCCTCGTCGGACGTGGAGGTGGAGGGCATCGTGGGGCCCAGCTTGTCACCACCCTCGGTCACCCCAAGCACGGTGGCCCTGGGGCCTCGGGACTTCGCCAGCCAGGAGGCAGGGGCCACGGCGCTGCCTGCCGCAGAGCTGGGGGTAGAGTTTGAGGCCCCTCGGGAGGCCAATGAGGAGGCCACGGTGGGAGAGGCTGGTCTGGCGGGCGACCAAGGGGAGCCCGCAGCCCCTCGCACCCAAGCGCCCGGCAGGGCTGAGGCCCCAGGCGAAGGTCACCTGGACCCTGGAACCTCTGCCCCCCGAGCCGTGGAACTGACACCTTCCCCTGCTACCCCGGGGCAAGAAGATCTCAGCCAGCAGCCCCCGGACGGGCGGGCGGCGGAGGCTCAACCCAGAATCCCCTGGGACTCCACTCAGGTAAAGCGAAGGCGCACACAGCCGCCCGGCTGAGCCCTTCCCTGCAGAGCCCAGGGCGGGCCCGGCGTGGGGACGGGATCTGCCAGGCCGGGGAGGAGGCCCTTTCTACGGCACCTAGAACCCAGGGAACTTGGGGGAAGGCATCCTTCCGGGCCGGCAGAGGGGGTTCTCACCACAGTTGCGTGCAGAGACCTTTGCACAAGCTCGGTGGCCTGGCCTGGCTTCACCCCGATCGGGTTCTGCTGCTGCCACCTTATGCACCAGCCGCCGAGACTTGGTGGCCGGCCTGTGCTCTCCCCGTCCCGTCTCCGCCGCACCCCAACACGCGTGCACCTCT